CCCTCTCAGCTACACTGCATTGGATCACATCCCACCAGGCATTCTACAACATTGATTTTAGATCTCTTGTTCCCTTGTCCCTGAGTTTATTGGCTTTCCCTCCCTATCCCCCACCTCCTCTTCTCCCATGTCCCCCTGGAATCATTGGTCCCATTATTTTCTCCTCAGGATTGTTTATCCTGCATTTCTTATATAGATAGGCATAGAAATTTATTTAAAAACAGTACAAATATAAATTTTAAAGCCAACTCATATGGTTGTTGTAACCTGCTATCAAATGGTGGTGCTCTGTATGGTGGTGCTATGTCAAATAGAACAAAACACATTGGTTGGTCCTGTGCCATCTAGACTATTATTATGTCTGGGCTCATAGTTGCCGCCACTGCATCAATTCATCTCATGGAGAGTCTTCTTCTTTCTTGTTGTTGCTTCACTTTACCAAGCATGAGGTCCCTTCCCAGGGACTGGTGTTTCTGGATGTTCAAAGTATGTGAGACAAAGTCTCACCATCCTCACTTCTAAGGAGCATCTGTTTGTTCGGGCAGTCCGTGGTACTTTCAACCTTCTTTTAAAAAAAAAAATCTTTGCCTTCGAGTCAATTCTGACTCACAGAGACCGAATAAGATAAGTAGAACTGCCCCTGTGAGTTTCCAACGCTGTAACTCATTACAGAAGTGGAAAGCCTGGTCTTTCTCCCACAGAATGGCTGGTGATTTCAAACTGGTTAGCAGTGCAGCACAAAGCCCCGATATATACCTGGGTTCCTCTACAACACGACCAATTCTACTGAATCCTGCCTTACTCGTTGTCCTGCTTTCACCTGCACACGTGGTCACTGGAAACCCCCTGGTTGAGTCAGGCACACCGTAGTGCGGAAGGTGGTCTCGACAACGCTTCAGAGAGGTTTCTCACTGCATGTTTGCTTGATGTTTGATTTCTTGACGGGGTGTTCCCATAAGCATTGATTGCAGATCCAAGTAAAATAAAGTCTTTGACAACTTCAATCTTTTATCCATGTATTATGATGTCTATTTGTTCGGTTGTAAGGATTTTTGTTTTCTTTCATTGTTATCCATACTGAAAGTTAGCATCTTTGATCTTCGCCCATAAATGTTTCAAGTCCTCTTCAATTTCAGCAGGCAAGGTTGTTAATGAGTCTTCCTCCAATTGTAGTGCCAAATTCTTCAGAAAGTCCAGCTTCTTGGTTATTCACTCACCTACAAATGGAGTAAGTACGATGAAACAATACAACACGGAGGCATAGTGTCCTGATTTTAAACCAACTCTGTATCCCCTGCTCTGTCTGAATGAATGCCCCTTGGTCCATGTGCATGAGCACAATCAAGCATGCTGGAGTTTCTGTTCTTCACAATGTTATTCATGGTTTGTTATGATCCATAGTCATATACTTTGGATAGTCAATAAAGCACAAGAAAGCATCGTTCTGGTTTACTCTGCTTTCATCCAAGCTCCATCTGACTTTAGAAATTATTTCCTTCATTCCGTGTCCTTTTCTGATTCCAGCTTAGAATTCTAGGAGCTCCTTATGTATATACTGATGCATTTTTTAAAATTCTCTTCCGCACAATTTTACTTTTATGTGCTATTAATAATATTGTTAAATAATTAGTGCTTTCTGTTGGGTCCCCAACTCTGGAATAGGCATCAGTGTACTCTGCATGGAGTCTTGGTCTTTGCCCATGCCTGCAGTGTAGCTTGGGCTTTTTCCTTCAATACCATACATTCTTCATCATTCACTACTTCTTGAATTGCTTGAATGTCTTTTACTGTTTTCATACAGTCACTGTGTATTTCTTCAATCTTCTTTTGGTACTTTCTGCATCTTCCAATATTGTTCCCACAGAATTCATCAACACTGCAACTTGAGACTCAATTCTTTCAGCTTGAGAAATGCTGAGCATGTTCTTTCCTTGGGGTTGTCGAATTCTAGGGTTTGTGTATTTCATTAGAGTGCATTACTTTGTCTTCTCGAGAGCTGAAATTTTCTGCTTAACTGTCTTACTTTATCATTTCTTCCATTTGCCTTAGTTCTCTACAATTCAGAGCAAGTTTCAGAGTCTCTTCAGGCATCCACGTTTGTCTTTTCTGTCTTTCCTGTGTTTTCCATGGCCTTTTACTTGCTTCACCTGTGATGTGCTTGATGCCATCCAGCAAATCCTTTAGTCTTCAGTCATTAGTGTTCTGTGTGTTGAATCTGTTCTTCAGATGGTCTCTACATTCAGGTGATGTACACTCGCTTGTCTTTCGATTCTTGTGGCGTTATTCACATTTTCTTTGCCTTCAACCTGAACAGGCATATGGGAAATAGATGGTCTGATCCACACCTGACCCTGAGTCCTCTTGGAAAGCAAAAGGAAAAACAAACAAACAAATACAGCAAAAATTGCTCAGGAACAAAAGGCAGATTTTGAGATATACATGTTTTCACCCCTTAGTCAAAAAGAGATCATGTGCGGCTTAACCTTCCAGGCAGAAGACACAGTAAAGGAGATCAGGCTGCCCTTAACCAGAGGAAGCTGCCTCCCCTTCTCTCCTGAGGAAGCTAAAGCCTCAAGTTGTGGCTGTAGCTTATGGAGGTGCACTCCTGGAAGTGGCTAAGTGTGAATTAACAAACGTGGTCTCTTAAGGGCCCTTGGTCCACACCGGTTTCCTCACCGTGAAGGAACCCCTGGCTTCCTGCAAATGCCACAAGGGGGGTCTTTCTAAGAACAGAGCAGCTAGGACCTCTTCAACTAATCCCGTCTCACGTTGACGAAAGGGGGGCCAGTGAAGGAGCGAGAGACTAGAGGAGAACTCACTGCCGAGCTGCCCCGCACAAGGCGGCCTGCACCTGTGCTCCCATTCGGTCCAGAACCTGGCTGACGGCGGGATGCCTGGAGGGAAGCTGAAACTGCAGGGTGCCGTTCTCCTTCGCCAGCTCCTGGAGACTTTGCTTCAGCTTCTCGGCTGGACATCCAAAAGGTGTGAGGAAGGGGATTGAAAAACAAAACAAAACAAAGCAGTTAGTCATTTCGAGGAAAGAAAGGGGAGTTGTTGCTTAATGGGCATTGGGATTCTGTGTGGAGTGATAAGTTTTAGAGAGAAACAGTGGAGATGTTTGCACAACATAGACAACGCAATCCCAAACCAACCTGGCTGCCATCAAGTCAATGTGGACTCGTAGCCACCCCGAATCAGTTTCCAAGTTGGTTTAAGGGAGTAAAAAACCAGCCTTTCTCCCTCAGACATGCCGGTGGTTTCAAACAGCTTACCATTAGGATTGCAGCCCAACTACTAACCACTACACCATCATGGGTTCCTTTTGGAGAACGTCATTAATGTCATTAAGCCACACAGTTAAAAAAAAGGGCTAGTGCTCACTTCAGCAGCACATATACTAAATCAGAACGATACAGAAAAGACGAGCATGGTCCCTGCATAAGACTGACATGGAAATTCATGAAGAGTTCCATATTTTCTGTACCTCTCCAGGAAGCAGGGCCTGACCAAGCAAGTGTTCTTTCTGCACCCTGATAGCAAGAAGGCCCAGCCACAGCCCAGCCATCTCTCCATGCCCCACCAGCAAGCAGGGTCCCATTGCCTTAAGTGCTCTCCCTGCTCTACACCAGTCACCAAGCCCAGCCCCAGTCCTGCCACCTAAGCGTCCCACCAGCAAGGATCTGGCCCAGTTTAGGTGCTCTTTCCTGCACCGTGCCAGCAACAAGCTCAGCCCCCAGCCCGACGAACTCTCTGTACCCTGCCAGCAAGCAAGTACTGCCGGCCAGACTTGGGTTCACTTTCTACATCAAGCCAGCAACCTAGCTCCTGGCTTAAGAATCCCTCCATGCCCCCAACAAGCAGCAGCAAACACTCTAAATAAATATGGTTGACTAGCTCTGAATAGTAAAAACAAACAAGCAAACTGATCAATCCAAGCACTTAGCAAATGCTGCATTAAAAATAGGTTCTAATTGATAGTATATACGTAATTTATGGCTCCACAAAGCTTTATGTGTAAGACCTGAAGCAACAGAAATGCTAGCCATCATGTCATACCATTTTGAACTGATGTTATGTAAATCAGTAAATGTTATTTTTAATGCCACTGAAGCATGTTTCTTCAAGTTTAACTGAGGATGAGTTCTCAACTGTTGTTTTTTATCACATTGGTAAAAAAAAAGTGCCTGTTACCTGCTACAACAGGGAAACAGAATAAAAGAAAACTATTTTCGATATCTATGAATAAATAAGCATTTACAGAGCAGTAAAACTCTTCATACACAAAGACATCGTGATAAATAGATTCAATTCCTGCCGCCTCATTCTGTCTATGGGTTGGCAGAACCTCATTCTGAGCAAACCAGCCATTGTACAATGCGCAAAGGGGTCTCTGAAGTTAAGAAGCAATCAATGTCTTCATGAGTCATTTTTATTTAGTTTCTACATAATGGCCAAGTAGTGCAATTCATTGAAAGATGACTATTCTAACAACTCACATTACCATGTATGTCATGTACAGATGGCCAGTTTGCAAGTGAGGAGAGTGCAATAAAATCTATTTCAAACGCACCTGCACACAGCTGAGCCAGCCTTTGGCATTTCACAATATTGTCGTTGTTAGGTTCATTATCCTAAAGATCAGCATTCTTTGAGCATTGAAGACTTCGAGTATATCATCATTTTTAAGCATCTCCATGCCCAGCACTGTACATATATTATAGCTGATCTTCAAAACAACTTTCAGCGTAGGAATGTACATGCAGAAATTTCAAGAATTCAAAGAGTTTGTTCAAAGTAACAAAGTCAGAATTTGAACTTTGATCTTTTCAGGTGCCCAAATCAAGGCTTTTTCTATGATCTTTTCCAAGAGGCTCCCCACAGCCAGAATCAGCCCCCCGTCCTACAGAGGACATATCTGTCTATTAATTTGTTTGGCCTCCCTGGCAGACTGTGACGTTCACAGGGCAGGAAATGAGCCCCATTCATACTGGTCTTGACAATATCTAACTCAGGGTCAGGCGCACAACAGAAAATTAACAAATGCTAATTTTTTTTAAAAAGGTAAATGTTTTTGTTTGAATAAGTACTACATACATAGAAACATAACAACATTTTATGGGTTCTTGTTATATACCAAACACATTCTTTTTTTTTTTTTTTTTTTAGGGAAAAGAAAGGCTTTATTTAGACAAACAGATGCTAGTCATTTCTGTGTTTCTGGACATCAACCAAGAGTTGGTTCTGGTTAAAAGTAGCTGTCCTTCCTCTCTTCTCCAAGAACTCCTCCTCCTCCCCTCTGATCTCAAGACTGGGGCCGTGGAAACTGGAAGTTTCCAGAAGCTTCCTTCTTCATGGGCCAGGGCTCCAGGTAGATGAAGCACCTACTAGCCTTGAGCAGATGGCAGTGCACAGAACCTTCTGAGGCTGGAGCTGACCAAACACATTCTTATAAAAGCATTCAACCATTAATCCTCACAATGACCCTACCAGACAAAGGAGACATCATTAGTTCTACTTTACAAATGAAATTACTGACGTTTTGCAGATTTAAGAAATTTGTCTAGGTTAGTCATACAGGTATGTCAGCTCAGAAAGAAAATCAAGTCTGACTGCCTTAAAAGAACCTGCATTCTTTGCCACAATGTTTTATGAGGAAAACTGCATTCTGTACTGCCAGTCATAGCCTAAAAGATGAAGGTAAATGCACGGTAGCCTATCAACTTATTTTCCACTTTACCTGCCTCCTTCTCAAAGAAGGCACATGCAACAAAGTATTTGGTAGCCAAGACAAACAAATAAACAAGATAATTCTAACAATGGAAACCACTTCACATCCAACTCTAGGGGGACAGCAAGGTAAATTATAGCACAACTACTAATAGAATGATATGCAGCAAGTCGAATGACAATTATGAAAACAATGAGGAAAATAGTACAAGAAAAAAGTAGGTTATAAATCATACACATACATAATTAAAAGTATATTTTTTAAACTGAGAGGAGCTAAGAATACTGATCAGTGAGTATGATTATGACTGGGTTGTTGTTTTTCTGTTCCTTGACTTCAAATTTATATGTAAGATACCACATATCTGATAAGGGTCTAATATCCAAAACAAATATAAAATTTTCACAACTTAACAACTGCAAAAAAGAAGGACAAATAACCCAATCAAATAATGGGCAAAGAACTGGAATAGACATTTCACCAAAGAGGAGATTCAAACAGCCAACAGACACTTAAAAAAATGATTAACACCTTTAACCATCAGGGAGCTACAAATCAGAAGTACAATGAGATATCACTTCACTCCCACAAGATATATATGATAAAATTGTCATTTTAAAAAGAATGATAGAGGCACAGGATGTGTGGAGATCAGAATTCTTATCCATTGCTGGTAAGGCAAAATGTATAGCTGTTGTGGAACAGCAGAATGGTAACTCATCAAAAAACTAAAACCAGAATGATAATTGGCCCAGCAATCCCACTCCTAAGAATATCTTCAAAAGACTTAAAAGTAGACTTAACCAGAGACCTGTCACCAACATTCATTGCAGCACTGTTCACAATAGCCAATAGGTGGAAGCAACCTCAATGTTCACCAATGGATAAGTGCATACATGAAATGAGATACACACACACAAAGACCTGATGGCGCTGCAGTTAAGTAGTTGGCAGCTAACTAGGAGATCTGCTGTTCAAACCCAACAGCCACTCCATGAGAAAAGATCTAAGTCTGCTTTTTGTAAAGATGAAAGTTTTGGAAACCTGATGGGCAATTCGATTCTATGCTATAGGGTCACCAAGAGTAGGAACAAACTCACTAGAATGGGTTTTGTTTGGGTATGTGATTGGGTTGTTTGTTTGGGGAGGAAGGTATATTTTAAAGTTGGTCTAGTTTTTATTATGTTCTGCTTTCTTTTCAATTGAGGTTTTTCGCAGTTTAATTTTGTTACCATTTTGGATTTGTTATGTATGCTTTTCTTTATATGAAATCCAGGATAGGTAAGTCTGGAGTCATGGTCCCTGGAGAGTACCGCAGGGGAAGTTTCAGACAAACAGCTAAGATGAGCACAAGAAGGAAGAAAATGTTAGCACATTGATTGTAGTGATGATTGTACAACTCTTAAGATGCTTGAACTATCAATTGCATGATTTGTGAATTATATGTCAATAAATTTTTTTAATCAAATAAATTAAGCAAAAAAAAATACAAATAATCCAATTAAAAAGTGGGCAAAGGGAAGCACATGGTTCATCAAGGATCATATCAAATGACCAAAAATAAGAAGAAATCCTCACTATTGCTAGCTATTCTAGAGTTGCAAATCAAAAAATACTTACAGCCATGTTGGGGGAAAAAAAACAACAGAAAATAACAAATAGTGGAGAACCTGCAGCTGGATTAAAACCTTCATGAACTGCAGGTGGGACTGTAAATATGCACAATGAATGGGTGCAGATTCGTGGGGCACTTCCTCTAGCAACTGGGAATAGAAAGTCCATGCAATCCAACAATCTCTCTGTTGAGCATATATCCGACGGAAGTAAGACTCATCGCACAAATAATCACATACACATCTATGTTCAGAGCAGCAGTGTTCACAACAGCAAGAACAAACACAGAAATTACCTAACTGTCCATTCGCAGAATGGAAACAGAATCTCTGACACATACACACTATGGAATACTCCGCATAACTGAAAAGTGAAACTATGAACCACCTCATGACATAGAACTGGGGAAGATCATGCCAAATATTTATCGAATTGGAGTTTTATTTCAGATCATCAACACTGTAGTCAACATTTTAAACTGCTAATGTTGGCTACAATGTTGATGATCTGAAATAAAACTCTAATACAATAAATATTTCGGAAAAAATTAAAAACTTTCAAGTGGCCATCAGGGTAAACAATTGTTCTCTAATCACCTGGCGCAGCAGAAATGAGTTAGTTTATTGTGCCAATCTGGCCAATAAGCACATGTGGGGTTAATTGAAGGGCAGAGAGATAAATGGCTCGGTGAGCCTCGCCTTTCTAGTTCTCGGGTCTCTTGTTTTGTGATGGTCGGACCAGGGTGCAGCTGCCTTAGCCAGTTCCCTGCTTCAGCTTGCAAGGCTCAGTTCCTGCAAGACATCCCTGAGGAGAAGCCACATGGACCTAGCCTGATGCAGCCCTGGGTGGTGGAGCAGCCATGTGGAGACCCCTGCCAGCGCTGAGATGCTTACACATTCACTGATTCAGCTTTCCTCTTAGTGTCGGAATCATCGCGTGTGTTTTGTGAGAGGGAGGAGGACTTTGTGGATTGGTGTTGGACATATGGGTTAATGTTGAACTTGTGGGCTTGGGCAGCCCTGGATTGGGATGTTCTCTTGATGTGCACTTGACCTTTACATAAAACTCTCTCTTATACATGAGTTTCTGTGGATTTGTTTTTCTAAAGTACCCAGACTGATACAAAAAAGAAAAGGA